CGCCCCCCCCCCCCCCCCCAAAAAAAAAATCCGTTTAGCCGGCTACCGTAAAATTCCGAAAATAAGCCCCTCCATGTATAAGCCTCTCCAAATATGAGCCCCCCAAACCGGTAACGCAAAATACCCTCCGTTAAATCACCCCTCCAAATATAAGCCCTCGCCGGGGCTTGTACTCGGAAAATTGCCCTCAAATACAAAGTAAAACAAAGCAAAAACGGTAAATTTACTTCCAACTATAAGGCTAGCCCAGTCGGTTTTGAAACGCAAATTTCCCTCCGTAGATAAGCCCATCCGAATATAAGCCCCTCCAAAAATAAGCCACTCAAAAAGGGCCTTTGAAAAATATAAGCCCCGGGGCTTATTTTCGGAATTTTACGGTACCTTATTTAGGGTTGCAAAGCAAAATTATTACCAAACAACTCAAGGCTTGTATAAATAAATTTTATGGGTGCAATGACCGTAGGGTTATTTTCCAAAACACACATCGCATCAAGTCTCTTTTCCCCTACAAAGACAGGCTCAACCGTTCTCAAATGTCCAAAGTTGTAAATAAAGCTAGTTGTTGGGACTGTCAGGATTTCTACATTGGCAAAACCAAACGGAGATTGCATGACCGAAATACTAAACATTTCAAGGCAATCATCAGCGCATCAAAAATCCACATTTCCACACTTCCAAAGTTCGCAACGAAAAGTATTCGATTCTACGTTTACAAGACATTATAGTGCTTTCATGCATGCATACATTTGTTTCTATAGGCGCCTGTCGCATACATTTGTCTTAAATTAGCGATAATGTTACTCTTTTGCCCATTCCACTCTGATGACGCATTCTGTGCTCTTCTACCCGAAGTAAAAGCCATCATCAGTAACGGTCATTGATCAGCTATTGCAGAACAACGTCACTTCAACTGGTCACAATTTGAAATGGGACCATTTTGACCTTTTACCAGGAGGAAAATTAGGTACCCACTGTAAAATCAAGGAGACTAGCTCTTCTTATTAGGGATTTAAAACCAGCCATAAATGAAAACATGAGCAGCGAAAAGCTTTACTTATAGTAGTTTGCATAATTTCGTACAAATTTTCGGTTTGACAGGTTTTTCAGTTATTTCAAGATGGATAATGTCAAGATTTTTTGGAACGATTTTTCCCACTGTTCCTTCAGTTTCTTTGTTTCCCTCTTCTTCCTCCTCCCCCTCATCTTCTTTTAAGTTTCTCCTTGTTTTCCCTCCTCTTCCTAATTTTGTTAAGCATTTTTATTGTTTTAGTCCAACACCTACATAACCACCTACCCCCACATGTCTTTTGTTTCACCTCCGCTTCCGCCACCACCAAGTGAGACACGTTTCTATTGCTTCGCCGTCACCAGTCCAACACCACTTTCATCAGGGGAAACTAGTTATGAAAGCCCTAGGCGAAACAAAGATTCGTGAGGGTGCTGTAGCGGGTTTGCGTTGAGAGCTCCCTCAAAGTGCAAAATATTTTGTTTTCGGCTCATACATTGACTGGATCAATCCCAATGTAACATTTCTATTTGTCAGTTACTTCAAAATGATCAGGAATGCTACTGAACGTTGGTAAAGACCAAAAAGCGAACAAGGACATATAACAAAGAACTCTGCTCGGCTGGTATCCTAAAGATCATCAAGCTTTTATTTTTTTTTTCTGAGATGAGCCAGGGGGCTAAAAGGAAAATTAAATTTAAAATTTCATAGCCCTGAAATACTTTATGGATATTACTTCTTAGCCCATTATATCTCAAATATTTTATCTGTTTCTTAAATGTTCTTCAATTACAAAGTAACCAAGATAAAAACCAGTTGAAACTTACAGATAAGAGTTTCAATTAGAGACGGACTGTTATTAAAAATCACTGCCAAGGCCGAGTTCATTTGAATTAAAGAACTGAAGTTGTAAAGAAGACTTCTCAAAAATATGACTCTGGTGTTTTAAAAATAAAAACATTACCTGCGATCGATCAGGCCTTGTTTTTGGAGCGCGAACAGCGGTAAGGGAAGCGTAAAAGTTGGAGGAGTCCGGCTTCCGCCGGAAAAAAAGGACGATCGATTGATCGCAGGTACACAATGGAAAGCGTCGGATAATAAAGAAAGTGGTGCAAGAGTATTGAAGTAACTTAAAATTGCGCAACACAGGATACTTGGCAAACAAACGAAAACGAAATCATGAGTCATTTATTCGGTCAACGTACTGCAAAGTTGTAAGACAGAGTTCCAGTTTTGATACCAGTAAATCTGGGAGTGGAACTGGTTATTTTTTCTTTTAAGTTATGGCCGACTGGACTAAGTAAAATTCGGTAACATTTTGTGCGCAGTTTGTTCACTCGCGGCTTTTCCATCATTTCTATAGCCTTACGCCTAGGCCAGTGAATAAACTAGTCGATCTTTAGAAGGATTTGAACAAGTTTTTCAGGTTTGGAGGCGAACAAAGCATCAATTGATGTTTTATAGGTACTTGAATTATTATTGTTCTGTCTTGGGATGGTTTTCTGGCCAGAACATAAATACTGCTTTTCGAATTGCAAGGTATTTTTCCAGTGTCGTGACTGTGAACGTTTAGGACAAAATCGATCCTTAGAAAATCATTGACGTCTCTAGCTATTCATGTTTAAAAATGTACCTTCATTCAATGGACCCGTTTTCTCTTCTTCAAATAAAGAACAAACATCTCCAAAACAAATCCATATCTTTGATCAACTCACCTTATTTTTTTCGAAACCAGTCGTTTTGTCAAAACACCTGTTCTTTGGTACAATACAGCCTTAATTAACGCTATGCTTTTGTGCTTATAACATTGAACTTGAAATTAGGAGTCGAGCGCAGACCGCTTTTTCAATGAAGTTTTTGTTTTAAACGAAAATAAGCAGCAGAACCAGGTGATAGGCCTCTTCGCTCAGCCAGTATACACATTGACACACTTAACTACAAGTTTTTTTGGAAACATAATTTGTATATAATTTATTGGTTTGTCTAATAACCGGATAATCGTCTGTCTGTAATTTTCCACTTTGAGTTAGTGTCGCCTCGGGCCTACATTTTCGGCGAAGTTAAAGTAAAAGTGATGTGATAAGACCTCAAAAGTGAGGGCTAGATTTATGAGAAAAAGCCTGTTTGCACTGTTATGAAATGTAAAAGTCGACTGGAAATATCAAGAGCCTAAGACCGCTTAAATGTGCTTCCGTGTTTTGAAAGGATAAAAGTGACGACAGGAAACTGTTATCATTTAATCCCCACTACTTTACGCAAAGGTGCTCCGATGTTGAAAAAACATTTTCGCAAAATTTACATTTGTGATTTTGGGTAAGAGAAGATATAATTTGCCAAAAGATAAAGATGTTGTGCCGGCAGAAATTTTCACCCTTTTAGTGGAGAGGGAGAAACATTTATGACCGTGAAAAATCCATAGCGCTGCTTTGAAGATTTGTTGATATTTACATTACAAAGAGAGTGACGGCTTTGACGGAAAATCCTTAAATGTGTCAATTTTGCAATTTTCGCAAGGCCATCGCAAAAAATGGAAAATTAAATTTTGTAAAATCATTTTGTTTCTACAATCAGTCCATATTGGAACAGCGTTTGTTAAAGAAGGGTACATTTAGGGTTTTCGATGTAACAAGTTTTCTCTGAATAATGGCCGACTCTTGATTAAATTCGCGTCCCTAAAATAATCCTTTGGTGGAAAAATATAGAATAATCGCTACATTTGAATAATTTCTCCCCACCATGACCCCTTTTAGTCATTACAGGAACCCAACGAAAGACGGTGACGACGGGCAACGGGAACTTCGAAAACAAACAAACAAANGGGAATGGGGGGGGATGGGAGAAAAAGGAGAGCTCTCCTTTTTTGCCCGCCCCTCGCTGCCGCGTCTCCTCTCACGTGCCGCTCATGCGTGTACTTTTCACGATATCTCCAAATGGAAAGCTTGCTTTCATGCTAGGGTGTATGCTTGCTCAACCATGCTAAAAAAAATTGAGAATCACGATTGCGCTTTCGTTGTTTCTAACCTTTATTTTAAACTGATCTGTACAAGCAGAAGCTGCTTCATGACTCGTAACTTGCGAGACAGCTCTCCATTTCGAGTAGCGATCGACGCAAGGCGCAAGAAAACGCGCGAGAAATCGAGCATCCTGAAACGGGTAGAGGAACCCCCCGCCCGCCCCACGCACGCTCTGGCGTAACTTTCATCTCGCACGATATCAACCTAAATGGAGAGCTTTTTCTCAGGCTACATAGCCCATTCTCACGACAAAATTGATCAAATAAACAGGATAAGATTCAACTCCTCCGTTAAAAAGCTAACTTCATGTATTAGAGAACCGTGAGCATTTCTGTGCTGGATTACACAAGCATAAAATGGTATGTGTATACAGGTGCAGTGGCGGGAAATTTGGTGCTTGGCACCACATTTGAATTTTAAGCGTTGGGCGAAGAAAAGTTATATAGTGCCTATTAATGCCTATTAAGTCTATGCCGACAGGTTTAAGTCGCGTTTACTGGCTTGGACAAGCTTTCCCTTTCAAGCAAAAACTTTCACAAAAAAAAAATTCGTTCCGTCAAAGAGAAACCTTTACAAATAGTTCCTTTATAAAAAGGTAAAAAAACTTGTCAACTTATCTATACGACTAAGGAAACATATTCTTGTAAATAGGGCTTTAGACTAACACTGTAGGAAGCAGAAAAGCGAGCAGAAGCACAAGTTTGTTTTGTATTTAAAGCTTGTTTCTGAACTATCTCGACCGTTGCATTATTGCCTCGTAAGTTTAAACCGGCCATCACAAACACGAGACGTTAATGCTCATCGATTAAGTGGACATAAATTTGTGCTTATGCTTATGTAAGCCAAGTTTTAATCTATGTTCGACTATGTGTTCACGGTTTTCTTAACTGCACAGCACAAATCATCCCCAGTAATAATTTAAAAAATTCGATATGGTTAAAGGTTTTTTGCATCTACGAATCGTCCTTCGCTCCATGTTTGATCGTTTTCACAAACTCCAAGTAGTTGAAGTTGCCATCGTCGTCGGCATTTGCTAAACGGAACATTTCGTCACATTCGTCATCATTAAACCTGAAGGATAAGTTGAAGGGATAAATCAAAAACACTCAAAATGCAATAGTCTCTTCTTAAAGAAAACAGGCAAGCGCGAAATTCACAATCGGGGGTTACTCACCTGAGTTTTATACGGGGAGGCTACGCCGCGGGATATAACCCCTTACTCTTTTATACACCATTTTTGACAGAAATGGTACCCATTTCGTATACCTTCTATTGAAAAATGGTATCCCTTTCACATACCTTGTTTAGAACTTTGCATCCCTTATAAATGCTGTCTTAAAAATGACAAAACGAGAACGTATGGCGACTTTTTCAAAGCCGTAAAATCCTTCTGTGGCCCTTTTAGGTCATTCTACAGACCTAAACGACAGCCAGTTTCCCTACCCTTCATGTACTTATCAAATAGTGAGATCCCTACCCTTTCCAATATCTGAGACCTGAAAAAGGCACCCCTTTTGGGCGGAACGCCCGGATCGGAACCTGCCCGTATAGGTCCTTATAGGAAGTACTCCCGGTTCACAACCTGCCTCTGATACCAACCCTGAAATCTCTTTTTGTTGCTGTTCTAATCTAAGTATAAGACTTGGAGAGCAGGGCGGCACCTGACTCGTCCCCAGTCGTCTCTTATTATTAGTATTTGGCGTGGAAGACTAGAACGGGCTCTTTAACGAAGGGGATGACGGGAAGGAAGAAGGGAGAAGGGAGAGAATCTTCCCCGCGCGCATAACCCAAACGCTTCCCTAGTAAATAATTAATGAGTAGAGACAACTTGGAGACGACTGGGGACGAGTCAGGGGCGGCATCCCCCAAACATTTCCAAGAGTATCCCCCGGGACACAGTCCCAGTGCTTCATGGAAGTTAAAATGCAACTTTAACCTGTGATTAGCAAAGGCGATTAATTTTTTAAGATTCTTTTATTTTATCA